ATACTAAATGTTACTGCTTCACTGCTTCAATCATCATTTACTGGATAATTGTATTTTAAATTTTTTACATTTACCAGTTTCTCGATTCTACACTCTTAAAAAAGGTTCTTTAGTAAAGACAATGGTTCTTCATGGAATCATTAACACTTAAATGGTTAAATGGTCCTTTGCATGGTGAAATTGTCTTTCAGCTTGATGGAGAATGTGTGCATGGTTCTATATAGATTCTTTTTGAAAATGGTTCTATATAGCACCAAAATGGGTTGTTCTATTGTTACAAGCTTGACATCATAACAATAACAGAACCCTTTTTGGTGCTGTATAGAACACATTCTCAATCTGAGAAACGATTTCACCAAGCAAAGAACCATTTAAGCATGCAAAGGGTTCTTTGAGTGTTCATGGTTCTATATAGTACGATTTTCTTTACCAAAGAACCCTTGAATAACCATCTTTTTTAAGAGTTTAGCACACTCACAAAAGCCATTTTATGATGGTGGTTTTATACTAAAAGAGCAGCATGTTACGGCTGATATAGCTAAATGTTTTAATAATGGTTTTGTTTTTTTACACTCGCGAGTGAAGAATGTTGTGTATTTTGTTTATGTTTCAGGCAATGTGCTGCTTACAGCAGTCAACTAATAACAGACTCAATCTCAACATAATAGTTACATGGTCACATTTTATATGCAGCTAGTTTAACCATGTTTAAGTGAAAGACTGTAGCTCAAACACAGCCAAAACATCGGCATTGTACATATTACAAGGTCTTGATTTTCTTGCTCCTGAGTGGTGCAACCGTCTGAGTGTTGGCCCCATCTTTAGGAGATCACGAGTTCTATCCCTGGCGATGCTACAGCCATCCGTGGCCTGAGTCCAAGACAGCAAAATTGGCCTCGCTCTCTCTGGGTGGCTAGATGGCCCCCATCTCCCCCCGTCACTCACCACGATGCTATTTAGCACAGGCGTCTGTTAGCTGACGTGACAGATCTTGTGGTTGGTGCTTTCCACCGAGCGCGTTCGGCCTTTCAATGACGTTGCGTGAGCGGCAGTTCGAAAAGATGCAGTCCTGCTTCACAGGTCTCGGAGGAAGCCTGTGCTAGCCTTCACCCTCCTAGCGCTGGTGGTATCGTGTGATTGGGGGAGTCCTGACTGGTGGGTGGAATTGGAGACAACTAAATTGGGGAGAAAATTGGGGGAAAATCCAAAAAAAAAACTCAACATAGCCGAAATTCCATTATATCCTCTATATCCATTATACACACACAGACACACACACACACACACATTATCTAAGCAGCTTGTCCTCCTGGGTTGGGGGGGGTCATTGGTCGGGAGGCAGGAAAGGTCACAGGGCAGAAACACAGACATACACGTTCACACTCACACATCTAAGAGCGATTTAGTGTGTCCAGTATACCTGACTGCATGTCTTTGGACTGTGGGAGGAAACCCACACAGACACAGGGAGAGCATACAAACTCCACACAGACAGGACCGTGGTCGCCTGGTCAGGGAGTCGAACCCCGGCACTTCTTGCTACGCACTGCGCCACCGTGCCACCCTTTATATCAATGATACTATTCAACAATATTTCAAAATAAAATTACATAGCGATAACCCACCAGTACATTAATACTGTTTATGCGTTCTGCATTTCCAAAAATAAGTAATCCTTAATTAAGGCCAAATAATAAGAATGAATCATGGTGAGATTTGAGATTTCATGCTGCCGTGATTGGTGTCCTGATGAGTTGTGATTGATCTGAATCTCTGTGAGGTCAGAGATTTACACCCTGGTTATTATCCTCATCTTCTTTATCCTCGTTTGATCAGTACAGCACTGCAGTAACATCACGGCAGTAGAGAGAGCAGTAAACTGAACTGAACAGACACGGAGAGAGAGAGTCACAGCACGCCTCTCTCTCTCTCTCTCTCTGTCTCTGTCTCTCTCTCTCTCTCTCTCTCTCTCTGTCTCTCTCTCTCTCTGCGCAGCACCTCTCTTTTATCTCCTCTGTTATAAAGCAGCAGCAGTGAGCTCTTCTGTTCTTTCACCACATGCTGAGAACACACCTCTCTCTCTCTCTCTCTCTCTCTCTGCAGCTCTCTCACTTGCCTTTTCTCTGTGTATTTCTTTATTTTTCTATCCTCTCTTTTTTGTTTGTTTTTTCTTTCTTTCTTTCTTCTTCTATTTCTCTCTATACTCTCTCTTTTTCTTTCATTTCATCTCTCTCCCTCTCTCTTTCTTTCTCTGCTTCCCATCCCCTATTTCTTTTTTTCCCCTATAGCTCTCTTTCATTCCGTCTCTATTTTTCTCTTTATATTTCTGTCCCCTCGCTCTCTTTCTCTGTCCCCTCGCTCTCTTTCTCCATCTTCTTCTATATCTCTTTCTTTCTTTCTTTCTTTCTTACTCCCTGTTTCACCATACTCTCTCTCTCTCTCTCTCTCTCTCTCTCTCTCTCTCTCGCGTTCTCATTCCATTTCTACTTCTCTCTATTTCGCTGACCACCTCTATTTCTCTTTCTATCCTCTTTGTCTTTCTTTCTTTTTTCTTTTTCTTTCTTTCTTTCCATTATACAGAACAGAGCTCTTTTTCTTGCTCTCTCTTGGTGGCTCTCGCCCCCTCTTATCTCTCTTTCTCCCTCTCTCTCTGAATAGAGTGCTTTTAGTAGTTATAGTGGTCAGTAGCTGGTCATTCCTGTCTTGTTTGGTTTTGCTTCTGATCATTGCAAGTTCTTTGCTGTTCCTTCATTCGTTCAGCGCAGGCTGATTGTAATAGGGAGCTAATGTAAGTCCCACTGTTTCTCAGATGTGTAAGAATAATTCTCTGGTAGCTTTGAGAGAAGATAATACTGCTGGTATGTATTTAAGGGCTAATCTCACAACACTGACCCTGTCAGTTAAAACACTAATGTACATCTACGCCACTTTAACACCATCGACACACACTGTTTGTCCAGATGTTTACAGGCCCCTGCTCAGCCAGTGTATCATCGGAAATGAAGGGTATTAACAGGGAGTTTGTCCTCCTTTGCTGCAGTGACAGCCTCTACTCTTCTGGGAAGGCGTTACACTAGACGGTGGAACATTGCTGTGAGGATTTGACTGAGCATTAGTGAGGTACAGATCAGTTCTGGATCACTCCAGCTCATCCTAATAGTATTGGATGGAGCTTCACCACTCCAGAGAGCACAGTTCCAGTGCTCCACAGCCCAACGCTGGTGGGCTTTATACCCCTCTAGCAGACGCTTGGCATTGGGCACGGTGACAGTAGGCTCATATGTGGCTGCTCCAAAGCATCCTGTTCTACTAGTCAATGCTTTTCTATGGAGATTATACTATACACTATAGTATACTATGCTACAGCCGAGGTAGGGCGAGTCCTCGGTAGGAGTCTGCTATGAAGACTCTACCTTAGTAGCCTATTGGCCACACGAATGGAACAGTCCTAACGAGGCTGTGTGGTGACATCAACAGAAAGGTCCCGCCTCTCGCAATTGTAGTGCGAAACCAGTGAGGGAACTGTGAGAGGAAAATGGAACCCGTTGCATTGTGTGTGTTGCTTTTTCATTTCTTCCCAGAAATGGAGATGTTCTTACGATAACCTACATGTATGCAAATACTGATTAAAATATGATATACGGACGATATGCAATATATGGACGAGTAATTTAATCAATCATTTTACACTTTATAAGGTAACAAAGACGAATTCAAAGACGTGAACAACTTACATTTTAAAACAAGCTCTGCTCCAACGGCTTCATTTTCCACAGGGAGGTGGGTAATGCTAGTTTACCACAGGGACGTCTGTAATGCTAATGACAGATTCGCACTGGTTAAGAAATCACAGTGTAAATGAAAGAGATAGGAGTTACTACTCGATTTACGCACCGCCTTCACTCCCGAAACGAGCAGAAAGCATGTAAAAACATGTAGCCGTTATTCCGTTTATGCTAAGCAGCTGTCTTGCTGTCTAAAGTGAATGGACTGTCAATAGCATTGCCATTAGCTCAGGAAATCACAGCCAACAGTCGACTTCACCACATAAAGTTGAACTTTTTCTATAATTTGTACATGTTCTGAGTTGTACAGGTGAGGTGGGTTAGTATTGTTACATGTCGGCTTGATTTTAGCCACAGAGAACTCAAGTAAATGCTTCTTCGAGCACCTCCATTCCTTAATAAACTCCTTTTCCACAGAATACCGTATTGTTCTCACAGACATATCGATTCGCACTGGATTAATAGAACCTGAGGTTATTTCTATTGCTTGTTTTGTAGAAGCTAAATCTTTACTGAAGCGGGAACGGTCGGTCAGGACTAATGTCACTGACCCAACAGAAGACAGAATCTTAAGAACATAATAACATGATAATAATAAAATCACTGAGAAACATTTACATCCCCCCGCTGCCTCATGTAAAACTAACCCCATCCGAATAGGGCTCAAGACTGTGTTTTATTATTTAAGAAATAAATCAAAAAAATAAAACATGATATTCCCACAAGATGCTGAGGTATTAGTTCTTGCTTTTGTGACTACTAGATTAGGCTTCTGTGATGTATTACTGGCTGGTTATCCCTAAGTTGGCTGGATTTAGAGCAAAGTGTTTTTATTCTTTCAATGTTTTGCTTTATTATTATTTATTATCAAAGAAAAGAAGTGATGAAAAAAGTTTTTTTTCTCCAAACGGTGATGAGAAAAACCTCTCTACACCATCAGAATGTTAATTTCTCCTGTGAATGTTCCTCTCATTGTAGGGACATTTGGTCCA